CTAGAGGGTTTGGACTGACATCGAGATCGATTCCCGATCGGACCGCTCGTGAAGCAACTCACCCAAATGTACATTATTGTTACGACTCTGTACTGCGTTACCAGAGACTTCAAACAAAAATTGGAACAGGGAGGACTCGAACAAAAGCGGCAGTCTGAAGAAAATTCGCAACAGCATAAAACCCATGCGCAAGTTCCAATATTTTAACGACGACCCTTGAAGACAGTCACACCTCCCAATAGTCAAGAAATAAGGGCCCTTCGAATGTCGAAGTGGTAATTCACCAATGCTCCTAACAAACAAAATCAATCTGTTTCTGCAAATTCTCGAGCTAGGAGTTAGCGTTGGATTTGAAATTAGGGATTCTTGGGCAAAGCACAGAACAAAGAAGTCAATAACAAAGAACTAATAAAGTTAAAGGACTCAGGTGAGGAACCAAAGAGGATAAGATCAGAGAAATTAAAAAAAAACTCTTTCAAAAAACAGGACAAGAAGAGACCAGGAAGAAAATTGGAAAGGGATGGCCTACAACAACTCATGACAACCTGAAAAATGTACGACAGACAAAAAGTTTCTGAAGTATGGACAAACACGCGTCATCCATGACTGGAGAAGCAGTTAGAAGACATTGCAAGTATAACTGGAAACTGAAGAGGAGACTGAAACCGAGGCAAGCATGAAGAACACCGTTTATTGGAAATAGTATCGTTCATTTGTTGGAAATAGAATCGTTTATCTGTTTCACTTTGAGTTTGAGAGAGCATCATCATGTTGCTTGAATTATCTCATTTGCAACACTTGTTCAAATTGTCTCAGTACAAAGTTGGTGCAGAAAATGAGAAATTACTTTTTGATTGCAACTAGGCAATCATCAATTAGATGCAAATCATTGGACTTGCAATCACATTGTTTAAATTTTCAGTCAACGACAGAAGAAACGCCAGGGAATCTTTGAACCCAACCTCACGACATACAATATTCTTGAAACAGGTTAGGCAATTTCAGTCCAACTTAAGTCAAAAAAGGATCCCAAAAAAAAGAAAGATGGACACCTGTCCTATCAATACCAAATCTTTTTAACTTTACTTATCAGTCGAGACAAATTGGTTGATAAATTCTAACTCTTGATATAAAAGACCTTTCAAAATTCACTTCATGTCAATAGCATTGGCTATTTTACATCAAAACTGTATTGAACCATAATTCTTTATATATTAACTATAATTAGGTACACTTGACTTCATTATACCGCCCATAGAAAAAGACATTCAAAGCCTGAAAGAAACAAATAAGGAAGAAGCACTTCAGTTTGACAGCAAGTTGTTGAGTCGAATAAACGAATAAAACTTTGGTCATTTATTATCTCTATCTTAAAATGTAAACGAAAAATTTGTTCTTCCCTCTCAGGATTTCTCTAAGAATAAATAAGCTATCAAATAAACATTGTCAAATTACCTTTTCAGTGAAGAAAGTTGGCTTAACTGTCTAACACATTAGAAAAACCGAAGGGTGGGAGAAATCCCGAAAAGAGAGAAAAACCTTTGTTTTATTAAATTTTACAGAGCGACAGGTGACAGTTTCAAATTCATAGCTATAGTTACTTAACTTTATCAACATGTCATTGAATAAGTGAGTGCAACAGCGAATGGCTAAATAAAGAAATGCAGGCTGAATGAACGATTAAACTAATGAAATAATAAGTAAGCGAGAAAAAACTGAATTAAGGGAGGTACAACTACGCGTTTCGTTCTTATAATTAACATCATTGATACCCCTTTAAAACCTCACCTTTTTAGTAAATTTTAAGTTTAATCTGAGCCTCGATTCTCCAGGCTATCTTCTAGGGCCTTTTCTTTGCTGGGTGTTGATAACTTTTCAACTTCTACGTCAATCTTGTGATCAGAAGATGAATCTAAATTGAAGATCAACACAAAGGTATTACTTTCATGAAACCTTATTTCTCGCACATGCTCGGAGTTTTCAAGAAAGCATACCGCTTTTAAAATCGACTTAACTGTTGAGGTAGTAATGAAACTTTAATAGTCACGCTCCTGTGCTCGTTTTCAGCAGCGGCTCTGAGCGTCATACTTCCACTGGCGAAAACTCAATATTCTTGTAACTGTCAGACGTTTCTCCTTACAGTATTGATTGCTCATTTTAGGCACAGAAACGTCGTTTACAATTTACATGCACAACTTTAACGTATAGAATAAGTAAATAGCATCTATAGATAACTCGTTAACGGGTGAATACTGAAACATAAGACTTGTGAAACGTTTCCTCTTGAAAAATGAACACTGATGGTACATACCAAAATTAAATTAATTACGAGAAATTTCACTGAATAATAAATTAGTCTGTGGATTCTAACAAAAATAAAATCATAAAAATCATAAAATAATTGACACGTGGTCTAACGATAAAAGAAACAAAGAAAAACAGAAAAGCAAGGGTCAAAATAAACCTTTGCAAATCAGAACTAACTTTGACTGTCTTTTGTAGCGTTGATGGAGGAGACCTGAGGTACTGTGGTAACATTTAAAGGCTGTGTAGAATTCTGTGTTGATTTAACATGTCCAGGTGGTAACGCATTTACAGAAAGTTCTTTTAGTTTATCAGCTTTTGATGCCGTGTGACTGCCATCCCTTTGTGAAGGTGATGGTTTTACACTTTCAGCTTCAAGTTCATTTTTCTCAGATGGATTTTCTGTTACACTTTCTGTAACCTTATTAACTTTTGACACAGAGTTATTGGCATTACTTCTTGGTGTAGGCGATGGCTTGATAAGTTCAGCCGTAAGTCCAGCATCCTCAAGATCTTCTTTTTCTATGTCTTCTGTGACACTAGCACTTAGACTTTGGTTGTCCTTTTTCTGCTTTTCCTCAGAAAGGTCTGACTCTGTAGTTTCAAGTTGTGAGGTATTTTCTGCAGGAGAAGGAGCAAAAACCTTTCTTTACGCAGGTCTAAGTTAGATTGATAACTGAAGGTCATTGCTTACCAGTATTAGTCTTTTACAGTAATGCTGTAAAAGTCAATGCTAATGCAATCGAATTTGAAAATGACTGGTGGGGATCAAGCAAGGTCAGGATATGCAAACAATTAACAGTCCTCACTTAATCTCTTACTCCTTACTTGGCAAACTTTCTATGTTACTTTGAAGAGCTTGAAGTTCTTGCTGCAGTGATTCGATGCTCAATTTGTTGCTTGATAACTGTTCCCGTATCTTTCCAACTTCCACAGAGCAATTGCAATAAGCAGATTTCTTGGGTGCACCGAGACTTTGTTGATGAGAAACAGTTGTGTTCATTTGTACCATTTCTAGCATCTGATGAAAGAATTGTGTGGAGAAATAAGTGACACATGCAAGGTCTCTGACAGAAGCACTTGTTCAGTAATCCAATGCAAACCGTATATATTCAGCTATCTTCCAAATGAACAAATTTTTAAAAAGTCCAGTCGCATAATAGTACTCTTTTTAGTGCTGGTTTATTCTGACAAGTAACAAGTTGAGTATCATTGTAATCTGCTGCATAAAAATGAACTGATTATCAAAAACCAAAACAAGGATAAAGGTAAAATTACATCATCTGCACACATGTATTAATATAAGATAACAAGTAAGAAATGTGCATGTTCATAAAATTTTAATGAAAGTAGGTGCAGAAAAATTTCAAATGAGGTGATAAAAGGATTGAATTCGCAATTTTGTTATTTTTAACCACATGCACTCTTATTACATCACACAATGCAATGATCACTGTTCTTGTTCATGCCCAACTAATATTAAATATTATTCTGTACTTTTCCAAGGACTAATGATATAGAATTGTTCACAAAATAACATCATGCATACAGAAACTTTTGCTTGTTAAAAACAAAAAACGATGAAACCTTTAAAAAAAGGACAGCAATAGTTCAAGTCAGTTTCTATTAAAATTGAAGGTCATAGCTAACTTCAATAAATTTTCCCACTGCACACATCTGATTTAATAATCTAACAGACCTCCCTTATACTTTACTGTTTGTTTCTGAAGGCACCCTTGACATTTTTTATATCACTTTGTTAATACCAATAACAATTCTTTAGCTTGGATACCATTAACCTCCCTTAGGTTGCAATGTATATACTATATGATCAATAGTCAATCACTTTCTCTCCCTGTATTTAAGGCAAATAAATAAATAGATAAATAAATAATACTTAAAATATAAAGCATTTTTGAAAAAAAAAATTAAAGGAAGCTGAAAGAAACATACCAGTTCAGCCAGATTCTTGGACTGTTGGTCAACATAATCTGATAGCTTTTTCACTTCAACTGATAAATTGGAGACATGCTCTGAAAGCATGTCACTGTCTGGTTGAAGGTGACCTCTTGAGGTTACACTGCTTTGGTTTTGTTTCAAAACCTGTGTTACTTTAGTTTGTAAGTCATCAAGAGCTACCTGATACAGAACAAAAGAAAACTAATGAATAAACATACAACTATATTTGTAAATACAATTAATTTTAACATGCAAGGTATAGACCAACTTCACCTAACATGCATTAACTTCAAAGCTGATAAAATGCATTGGCTTTGACATGAAAACAAACTGACCATAAAATCAATTTTGGTAGAACATTGACAATTCTAACCCTTTTATTGATTGCTGGTGGCCTACTTTAAGCCATATTCAAAGGCAATATTTTTGGTAATGTTAAAATGAACAATGAAGCTACTGTATTGCATTTCTTTATTTGGATGGTAACACTTTTACCTAAGTTCAGATATACATAAATCTTGTGTTAGTCTACATCTATGTCAGCACTAAACAGCCAGTGAAACAATAAACTACCATCACAGAATATCATTGGTACAGAGCTGAAAAATTCATGATACAAGGAATTCAAGGGAGGAGGGAGGAAAAATCAGGAAAGAAGAAAAACAGTAATTGGAGAACAAAAAAAACTGCCTTCCAAATGACTATCACAAAGAAATTGTACACTCACATTTGTTTTGGGTTACTAAATTAGTGCGGAGTAATTATCAGCTGTTTCTTCAACAATTAAACAATATTGTGACCTAGCCCTCTTGAAAGAGGACATACTTCACTTACAACATGTTTTTTGACTTCCTTCAACAAGCTCTTCATCAAAAGTCCTAATTTGGACACTTCATAGGACAATGTCTGGTTGATGGTTGTCAGAATTCCCATAACCTTGCCAACTTTCTAAAAAGTGAAAATAAAAATACCCCCCCCACATTGGACAAGTTTATATTTCAAACTACATTAGTTACAGGATGTAATAGAAATTATGAATGCTTTACTTAAAATTGCTTTTAACACAAGAAGACATTAACTAAAACAGGAAATGACATAAACCAAAAATAAGATGTAAAAAAAATCAAAACCCTAATATGATAACATAATGAATACACTGTGCATTAAATTTCAGGAAAATGTGTACTCACTATGAGGTGAAAGTCATCTTTGAACGTATCTGACTATTACAAAATTTTTTAAAGAAAACTTTAAACAATTAGCTGCATAGTTACCACTGAAATTTGTGCTGTGAAGTTCTTCACCACTGATTCATCTCCTGCTTTTTGTTTCTCGTCAGCAATCACTGGCATTCTTAAAATAAGGGGTGGGGTACCAGTGTTTGCTGGTGCTTTGGGAGTTGGCTTTCCCATTATTTGAGCTACTTGAACCTGTATAAAAGAAATTCACATAGACATAAGATTGTGATGTGATGAAACTGCTTTTGGAAAGTTTTGAAATAAAACACTCATCTACTGTGATGAAAAAAAAAACATTTATCTGAGTGCTGAGGGTTGCTAAAGCAGCACATAATACGTGGATAAGCAAAGATCTTTGAGCTCCCAGGAAATAGGATGAGCTGGTTATATGAAATGACTTCTCCCAAACAATAGCCACAGATATGAAGACTTATGAAAATGCAATCATATTTAAAATATCAACTGTTTGCCAATCGCACACAAAAAGAAGAGAATCATTCTGTTTAATAATGATGACATGGATAATACTTACTGAAAGATTATAAACATTTTTGATTAACTTTTCCATTCTATGCTCCTGTTTATCAGCTAAATCTCGTAGCAGTTTAATTTTGTCCTTAATCTCTGTTATATCGCCTCCTGTGTCAGCCATTCCTTTCTTCAGTGAATCAATATCTTTTGTCAACGTGCTTGCACTTTCTGGTAGCTTAACCTTCTTTTTTAATTCATCCACTGTTAAGTTTAAATACGCAATCTGAAAAATAGAAAAAAAATTTCACTTTGGTTACACAAATCAAACAGTTATTGAATGCTGTAAGTATGGTCCAATCACTAGTAATGAAGACAATGTTTACTGATAGTAATACAATGATACAATGATACTCTGACTAAAATATAAAATAAAAAAAGAAAAAGGCTCAATAACAAAGTAAGCAAGCTTTTTTGAGAGATGTGAACAAATGTTGTGGCTAATTATTACATCTAAAAATCTACATCAATTTTTCTGTTCTGCAAGGCGTCATTGATGCTTTGTCTTTGAATTCATTACATAATCATTCTCCTTATTCTGATTTATTCACCTTGTTTTGTAAGATGGCATGTGGCCTAATTGTGTAGTTCTTACCTGCTTAAGAATTGATTTAAATTGTTCATCATCATGTTTCACGGCTTTTTCTCTGTCAGTTTCTAAGGCCTTGTACTTGTTAGTGAGCTCATTATTCAAGCTCTCATATTCCCTTGAAGTGCTTCTATCAAATGATTCCACTGATAGAAAAACATTGGATATATAACTGCATTAATTCATAATGACTCCACATACTACAGCTAATACAATTATTAACACCCACATAAAAACTTCAACCCTTTACACCTTAAGAACAATCTATTGGTTTCCTGAGGTGCAGACAGGGAGATTTTGCTTAACAATCAAGGGTTTCTGTACTTGTTGATCATTTCCATTATCTTCGTGATCTTAATGATTGATTCAGGGATGATACTCTAAGGAGCAATTAGATGCTAGTCACTCTTGGGGGTTGAAAGGTTAAAGAGCACATCAAATTGATTTTTATGAAATCCATTCTGCAACTACTATAACTTATAATTAGTAAATGCACTTCCCAATATATGGTAAATTTTAAAATCAAGTGAAAATAAGAATGAATGAATTTTTCAAAGTTGTACCAAGAAGACTTTAATTCCTAAGCACCATTACTGCTGTGCAACTTTTGTTATTAGCAGGGTCACTTACACAGCACAAAGTGGTAACTGGAAACAAGCCACAAACTCCAACCGAATACCATATCACCTTTCTGTGCTTTAGTCCTAAGCCCTGATTGGCAAGATTATTGATTTAGGTTGGAATCCCTTTTTGTTTCTTGTGATTTAGTGCTAGTAACAGTACGTACTAGTAACAGTAGCAATACAAAAGCAACCTTTTGACTTGATTTCTTTTGACCATTTAACTCCAAGAGGCAATTAACATATAACTTCTCCCTTTAATATCCAACATTATGAGCCAACAGGTAATGATAACACTCAAACTTAGACCAGTTAAAGTTGTTATCTTGGATCTATCACCAAATTCTCGTAACCAATTTACAAGGGAATGAGTAGAAGCAAGAGAGGAGAATTAACAATCAGACCTTGGAAGTTCAAGGATTAAATAAGAATCATTGGATGGTTTGAGGCACTATGTAGGTAAAGTAACTCATCCAACAAGAACAAAAATTGGCATGCAAGAAAAGTCCATATACCTACTCAGAGAGAACTTGTCCAAACTACAGGAAAGACAATACTATAAGCTGTGACCACTACAGTCACTATAGCAAGTAAAAAAGTTTTAGCAACTAATTTTTCAACACAATTTGCCAATTAGGTGACCAATGCTTAGCAGTCATGTAATGTAGCATCATGTACTGACTTACTGTTTATGGTAGATTCTTTTGTTTTGTATCCAGTAGAGTGAGATAGATGTTTGCACAAAAGATTGTGTTAATTGTGAAAGATCGTGATTAAAATCTCCTTTTCAGCATTTTTCTGGCATCCAAAATTTTATTTCCAAGACCAATTGATGATTTTAGATTGCCAAAGGGAAACTTAACCTTGAAGCCCTACACAGACAAAGGACTGGCTAAATATGTTCAGAATACCTGATGGGGAAAACTAACCATCTTACCCATGAACAATTAACTCTTGTCAGCTTGAGCACAGCCCTATCCAAAAGCACTAAAAATTCTTTATAAGAAGTACCCTACAACAGTTTGAATTTTTCTTTATTCCTTGGCCACAAATTCTTAAAATTTAAATTCAAGGTTACTAAATTAAAAAAAAAAAACTAAATTAAAAGTTGCTCAAACTGGATTGACATCCAAGACTACAATATATACAAAAGTGTTTGACGACCAATATAAAATAATTATTTGTTCTTTGTACAGCAGCCATACAAGAAGTAATTCCACTTAAAATTTAGCACCTGTTTCAAGGCAAATGAACAAAAATTGCACTTTCTCATTTACTTTTGGTGCTTGTACAAAAGGATTACTGGCAGCAGGTAGCATCAACCCATAAAACTACCAGCAGTACCTTCAAAAATACTCCAATCCATTATTTTAAATTGTTTTCTAAAGCAATTATTTACACACAATACAGTTAACAATACAGAACCTTCAGTTTGGAAGTCGTAAGTGTAAAAATTCCCAGTATCTGGGAGGTTCTCTTTGAAAAGAAAACCGTCATTAATTATGTATAACTGTTAAATGATACATGTACAGCAATATCCATTGAGATCAAAACTGACATGACCAAATACTTGTGAATTATTAAGGTATTTCCGGTAACAAACGAATCAATGAACGATATGGCTGAGATTCAGCGACCAACACCAAAGGTAAACGCTTAATTAATGAATATGGAAACGACTTCCCTCTCGAGAATGATAATTCAAACCTGCTCCCAGATTCGCACAGAAAACAATGTCGCCAAAATTAAATTCAAGATAATTTTATTCGAAAAGAATTCGCCACCGTGTGACATATCGGGTAAACAATACCGGGATAAGACGAGAGCATTAAAAATATTGCTGACCATACTTTCTAACCACTAATGTACAATGATAAGTACATAAAACATTAAAAGATCTTAAAGGCTGTATTTCACAAAGAATCGTGACGTGGAGACAAAATTACTGAAAAAGTCGCATAAATACAGTAGCTAGTCAGGAAATTTATTTTTATCAGGGCTGAAACGAGTTTCTGTTCCTCGCACCTAAGATGTTAAGCTCCAGGAGACTTCCCGGCATTGAGTCAGCTTCATCACTGGATAACTAATGTAAAATAGGATTTTTATTATAGTTCAAGAACGAATAAATCAACACAGACTATTCAAATTCTTGGACAAGTTTGGATATTTCCATGTCCACAATGAATATATCTGATTGATGCATATCTTGATGTAAGTCGCTTTCTTTCTTTTAGCAAATTTGTACCTCGAATTCGATTTTGTCTTCAGCTTACCACTCCATTCGAGACTTAGAACAAAATTACTTTTAACAAGCGCGCTCGAAGTATTGTTACAAATAATCACTACCTCCTGAAAGAGTGAGCTAATCATTACAAATCAAAGCTACAAGAACCACTCTCAACACAGCATAATGATTCTCGAGACTGAACAAATCGTTGATATTACAAAAATATACGAAAGCTTTTTAAATATACCAATAAGAGAAAAGCTCGCCAGTGATTTTATTACATTATGTTTTTCATCTTCACAAAGTAAATTATTGATGAGCGACCCTTCACAAAGAACGTTCGATGAAACAAAATGATCCACAGTACGACCGCAACGTCACATCGCAAACTTGTGAAATGTTTTGAACGAATCAACAAGCGCGTAGCGTTTGCTTCTGATACAAATCTTGAAACCAAATAAAATGGAAACTACTAATGAAGGAGTGCCGGGCAAACACTACATTTAAAAGCTAATTTTTCGATAATTTTGAAATGCGTCAGAAAGTAAAACATTGACGTAAAGTTCGCATATTGTGTAGAATAAGTTCGTGTACATGCAACAGCATTCGCGCATGAATGGTTATTTCCGCTTTAGAATGTTAATCACAACAGATAGATTCAGCAGCATTGAGTCTGCACGCTATTTAATTCATTTTTTGGGAGGCATAACGCAGTCGGAAAAAAAATACTTATAATCAAATTTTCTTACAAAAGTTTTAAAATTCAATCAGTTAGTGAAACTCACACTGTGTCTGCATAGTATTTTAAAAATATGCACTCTGCTTCTGATTAACTGCAAAAATAATAAATGAATCACCCACAGCTCGAACTTACCTTTGCTTAATCTTTTCCTCATGAAGTCTAAATCACGCTTGAGCCTTAAACTAAACCATCCCAGAACTAATACACAAAGAACGGAAGCTATGAGAAGTATCGAGAGGAACACTGAAGCACAAACTCGGCAGCAGCCACAGCGCCGTCTGAAACGTTCGAAAATGAATCAGAACATCCAAGGAAAAAAAATTATATAATGCATTGTAGAGGAACGCACTGGTTTCTCATCCTGATAAAAAAGAGCCGAGGGAGGATCTAACCTTGCAACATACGTGGACTTTCCTGGCTTGATAATCCTCTTCTTGGGAAGAGGGAATTCTTGGAGGTCAGAGTCCGAATCATCATCGTCCGGCACAAGTGTGCCATTTCTTCTAGATGAAAGCTTCATTTTCGTTTTACGCTCACTCATTCCAAACTAAGACAAGTTCCATTTTTTTATACAATAAGAAAGAGGAGAAGGAACGAGAAAAATATTAATTACTTGGTGCGTCTATCGACCTCCCGAATGAAGTCATGCTCAATGTATAATGACACATAACACAAATGAGTCAAAGAGAGAGGGGACTGGGAAGGAATCACTTAATAGTTTTTTGTTGTCGTCTTTGAAAATTAAGAAGATACTTTGGGAATTTTAAATCCATAGGAATGTTTCTACTCTATCAGATTAAGGATAAGTATCTTAGGCGTAGATTTGCTTTCTTAGTCTGTTCCTTTGCTGTCTAAATAAACAGTTAAGACTTAAACTTCCTTTCACTTCTGTGAAAACAAAAGAAATATTGTTTGGACATCTGATTTTAACACACTTCTCCTTATTTGCTATTCATGTCTGCATCCCTCAATTTACCTGACAAATTGTGGCTATGAAATCTAGAAACGAATTTCAGGCCATAAAATCAACAAGAAACGGACTAAAACTACTATTTTCAGTTGCACACCAACACTGACAATTCCAGTAACGTAATTGCAATCTAGCAAAATGGATGACACCTCAGGAGGGAAGGTAGGTTGGTGATAAACTAGTAAAACTCTACCATGCTTAACCCTTTTACTCTTTAATTGATTAACAAGTAACTTCTCCCTACAATATCCATGCACTATCCAGCAAACAATTGATGAGAATACCCACATGTATCAGGTAGAAGTTGTTATTTTGATCTAACACCAAATTCTCATAACTTATTTACAAGGAAATGCACTGCAGCTTGAGGGGAGAATTGACAATCAGATCTTGGGAGTTAAAGGGTTAATACAACCCTCTCCCTTGATAGTTGTTTCCCCTCCTTCCAGTCATGTGTCCACGTTAAAATCCATCTTAAAATGGCTGCCACACATTTTTCAGAGAAGTGCACAATATTTATGCACCAAAAATGCACCTAAACTGCATGCAACAAATCTAACATCACCATAAATCAGGCTTAGCATTAGAAAACGTACCAAGTCATAGAAGAGTAAGTAAGGTTCTGTTTCCAAAATAGTTCCAACTATCATCATGTGTTTTTTGTCCCTCTTTTTTCTTCTGCCTACCCATGCATCAATATTTGTATCTTGTGCTATTCATGATACTAATAATATAATTTCTTCAAAATAATTTTTCCCAATAATGTGAGTAAAAAGCCTTTAAAAATGGAAGCTCCAATGGCTTTTTTTTTGTAACAAGGAAAATACAGGCACAAGGATACTGTTTCTTCTCTCTACTCTGCTTAAAGTGTATAAAAGGTTTTCTTCTGGTACATGCACCCAACACAGTAATGAAGGTCGTTTTCACATTTTAAGACACATGATCATTTTCTTCTGTGTTTCTATGATAAATATGTACATGATCTATTCTGGTGATGAACTGATTGAATAATGCTCAAATAATTAATGCACACCAATAAATAGGAATGTTTTGTCAAGTGACGCACTAGAACTTAGATAATGAGCCCTGTGGTGTTCTCAATAATGCTGTCAGTGTTAATAGCACAAGCATGTGAGAGAGTTATTTCTGTGTGGAATTACCATCAAATTGTAGGTCAGCTTCAATAGAAAAGATTGAGGCAAAATTTAAGAAGTTGTGTGATGTCATCAACTTAAATAGCTGGCCCCAGTCCAGAAAAAAAGAGAAAAAGAAAAAGAAGATAACAAAGGCATTTGGGGGATGGTATCTGTTAACCCTTAAATTCCCATAAGTGACCAAGACAGAATTTCTCCTTACAATATCAATAC